TATAATTTATAAACTTGTCATTTACCGAATGGAGGGAAGAGATTGTTTCTAGATTGTCTTTAATTGGAGGCGCAGCTTTTGCTGGAATTACTCTGTTATCTTGATGTGAGCCACGTTTTGTTTGTCATCCAGCTTAAAGAAGCCATCTGTTTTTCACAGCACATCCTGTTTTCTCAGATTGTTTTAAAAGCAAAACATAAAATAAAAGATTAAAACCCATGGAACCACTAAATTAGCTCAGTGAGTAAAGGAGTTTGCGCTGATGTAATTTTTTGTACTGAGGGTCTTCCTCCTTGCTGCTCAGCCGGATGAATGTTATATTCACATCTGGCATCACAGCGTACACCCCTCCCCCATCAACTTTCCTTTTTCTCTCTGTATTTTGTCCTTTATAGGAAAACAAAATGCCTAATACTTCATAAAGGAGCTGCAGAGTGTTTGTAAAAGCTGAGTTCGAGGAGAGCGATCGGTGTGGCTCTCTGTTGCAACTGAAAGAGGCATGATGATGATGATGTACAGTTATGAGGAAGAGAGAAGGAAACTGTTACTCCCTGAGGCGCTCTAGTCCCCTCTTCACCGTCCTGGCTCAGTGTTTTATTTATTTAATTTTTTTTATGTTGCCTGAAAACTTCTGCTTCAAGCCGTGCGTGTCAGTCGGGACGGTCACGCATGTGCAGGACGGGAAGCTCAGGAAACAATTACTGTCATGCTGAGTGTACACCTGCATTGGCCTGTGTGCTTACACTAAGAAAATGTCCGATCTAACATCTAATTACACATGCATGTGTGCACACACTCACGCTCTGTTTGTCTCTTTAAAGGAGCAGTACTACGTAAAATCAACGGGTTTTGTCATGTTATGATGTTATTCCCTCAACAAAAACATACCTGGAGTGTTTCTTTGGTTCTTTAATGCTTGTTTGAGAAATCCTTTAGTCCTCAGCTCCTTCAGACTAGCCAGCAGCAATTAGCAAACACCTGGTGGAACTGCTGAGCTCATTATAGGAGCTACTTCTCAGAGTTTGTAAAGAGGCTGAGACTCAATTTCAAGGAGCTAAATTAGGAAGTCAAATTGCTTTTAAGTCATATTTGATATAGACAACAACTGAAAGTAAAGCAGTTACTTGATTGTGGTATAAAATGAAATATATGTCTGGAAAATACATAATACTGCCCCTTTAAGGGTGACGCTCTGTTCTTTTTTTACTCTTCTAAATCTTCACTCTAAATGATTTACTTCTCATTATTAACATCTATTTTCTATTTTTCTTCCTTTGTGTTTCATTCCCTGAACCGTGTTTTGCCTTTCCCTTTCCTGCATTTTCTTCTTACTTTCCCACTTTTTAACCCCTCCATCGCTGTAGAAGTATCGATACCAAGAAGAGGAAGGGGCTTCACCAGGTGCCCCAAGACTCCACCATCACACCTGCCATCAGCATCCAATGGGAATAGCCGGAGAGATAACGGATGGAGGAACCCTGGGGAGGGATGGAGGGACCCTGGGGAGGGACGGAGGGACCCTGGGGAGGGACGGAGGGACTCTGGGGAGGGACGGAGGGACTCTGGGGAGGGACGGAGGGACTCTTGGAAGAAGTGGAGGAACCCTGGGGAGACAAGGAGGGACGCTAGGCAGGGACAGAGGGACTTGGAGGCGAGATGGAGCTGGCATCGGGAGCATGGAGCGAGAACGGGACCGATCCCTGGGGAGGGACGGCTCCCTTGGTCGCCACGGTGACCTGCGTGGGGCGGAGCTGGTGCAGGTGGCGGAGCGGCAGCTTTCCCAGATCCAACATGTCCACGGATACGTCACTCATACACACATCGCACCTGCTCAGGTAACTCCATGTTGCGCCCTGTGTGACTTCAGTAGTTATGTTCAGTCGGTGTCAGAGATTAGTCGCGTGAATGTTATTTTTTGCTCACTGTGGACACTCAGGCTGCGATCACACCAACCCTGTCTGGTCCGCTTTAACCAAACTCTGGTCCGTTTGCTTAGAAAGTCCAGTTAGTTCGCGAATGTTTGAAAGCATAATCGAACTCTGATCCACCTAAAACCTAGATTTTGGTTTAGTTGACGTGAACCCTGGTGCAGTTCGAATGCATTTATAACAGTCAACTGGAGCAGGAAGTGGACTACAGCACAGGGCATTCTGGGTAAATACTACTAAAACAAAGGGAAGAGTCTAGCGATGCAAGGAGAAACGGCTTGTAGTCTTTCGCTAAAATCTGACTCCACTCCATGTTTGTTTACATTTTGTGAAGAAGGAAGTTTCAAAAGTTTCTGTGTCGTTTCCTGTGGTTCTTGGTACAGTGCCCCCACAGGCCAGGAGGGGAACTGGTTTTTCAATTAGTTTAGTTCATCAAACAGATGAGTGTGAATTTGAACCACAGCAGCTGAAAATGTAACAAATGTTGCAGTTTTGGTTCCCAATTGAACCAAGCATAGCAGATTATCATTATGAACACCTGATAGTCTGGTTTAAAAGACATATTTTTTTTACAAAAGTTGCACACTGCATCTTTAAAGACATGACTTTCAAAATACGTCAACCATAGTGGACAAAGTCTGGAGCCAAGGTTGTCTGAATTCACCTTCAGCCACAAACTTTGTCTTTCTGTCAGGAGAATACTTCTGCAGATCTGTGCTGAGGCTCCTGTCCCATTTTTCAGTTATAAAATACTTTGTTTCATTGCCTTTGTCTTCTTAAATCCTCCTTATTTTGGTTGATTTTAACACATCTGCATCAGAATTAACACTGCATCTTTTTTTCTTTCTGACTTGCATTTATTCAGATTCTATTTCAACATCACTGCTACAGTAACTGGTGTTTTAACAACTGGTGAAGTTAAATAATAACTTCCTGTCAAGTTGGTGCGACTAACATGTTTAATTTCTTTGTCTTTGGCTTCATTTCATCAGATCACGATGTTCTCCCTCTTCTGTTTTAATGTTCTGGCATGTGTGGTGGTTTAATTCTATAAAATCTGTCTCTATGTTTGATAGAAACACGTCTGTATTTGTTTAGGTACATAACAGAGCTGAGTGTGTTTCGTGTTTCCATCTTTGTGGTAATAAAATGTCAGAACCAGCAGTTCAAAGGTTAACCAGGCAGACAACTTTAGCCAAAGCCAAGTAGATTTGTTGTTGCAGGAAACGCTGATGTGCAGCTCCATCTTGTGACTAGATACCACTCACTCCAAAAATCACAACAAATATGTTTTACTGTTAATTTTAAAAATTAAAGTTATTTACTTTGGGGACATTTAGGATAACTTGACCTTTATGACATCACAGAATCATTATCTCCATTATCATCAATGCTTTCTGCAGACTTATCACCTGTCTGTCTGGATAAAATCTGCGAGGAGAACTCCTCCGTCTGCGGTCAGCGTGTGTGTTTGCTGCTGGGATTTTGGGTTTATTTTGAGAACTTCTTCCCAGATGGTGTGTGTTTATTTGAATGCGTGTGACCACAGGTGCTGGATCTGGCTTCCTTTTGTATGACAGATGGACCAGCCATCTTGTCCTCGCCATGTAAATGTTCCTTTCTCTGTCTCTTCTCCCAAACATTCACTCACACAGTCACGCTCCGCATAACCCCGTTTCCAAAAACTGCAAGTAGGGCCACGTGAAAAATCTGTGGTGTCCAAAAAAACGTAGAAATCTGGTATGCTTAGTTGATTAATGACGAAAAGAAAAAACAAACACAGGCTCCTGAATTTGAGTCAGGTTCATTTTACCAGTTTGGGCGACTCTGATGCTCATTTCATAGCAGAAATCTAAAACTCGATGTAATGCTCAGCAGGTAAAATCGCTCATTTCATTCACACAGACCCCAAATACCTGTACAGAGTTTTGTATTTTTATCAAATTGACTCGCTTCTGTTCATCCATAACTTCTAACCATGTTGCATTTTTCATTTGTGAGAACAGAAAACAGTTTTCCGCTTCATCTCGAGCACAGCAACTTTTCAAAATCTACTTTTGTACGTTTTCTCTTCACATCCCAAAGCATAACTTTATTTTCCAGAATGTTTCAGTTAATTATTATTATTATTATTATTATTATTATTATTATTATTATTATTATTATTATTATTATTATTATTAAACTGAATTACAGCTGAGTGTACAGTCAGATGTAGATGGTTAATTTTCACACCATTAACAGAAATCCCAATTTATTTTCTATTTTAACATGTTTTCGGTCGAGAACATCAACATTATCAACTTCAACTTGTTTAGAGATAATATAATTATCCTAAATGTAAGTGCAGCTCAGTTTTTAAAGCTGCAGTATGTAAGTTTTATAAAAATTTTTTTTTTTTTTTACATTTTTGTTAAAACTGCTACTATGTCGTCACAGAATGAGATGGAAAATCAGTTTTAAAAAAAGCAATTTCTCCCACCTCTTCCCTGAGCAAAACAACCAATCACAGCCAGGAGGAGGGTCTTAGCGCTGTCAGTCATCCTTGTGAACATGCTGCTAAATATGCTAATTGCAGAGAAATAACCTGCTGTTACAGTAAAACTGTTAATCCATCATCATTGTTGACTATGCTTACTAGCCTTAGCATGATTGCCAGTACTAAGACCCTCCTCTTGGCTCTGATTGGTTGTTTTTAGCCAGGAGCGGGGTATTTCTCCAATCAGAGCAGGGAGGTGGGTTCTAGCATTGTCCATCAACCTCATGTAGGAGTTTCTAAATAAATTAATGGCAGAGAAACAACATCCTGTTACAGGAAAACGGTTTATCAGTCACTGGTGACCATGCTAACTAGCCTTAGCATTCATAGCAGGTTCTGATGACAGAACCATGACTGACAGCGCTAAACAGCGGTTCATTTCTTCAGATTTTTGTAACACTACCCCAACTTTGACCAACTGTTGGGCTGTGTCTGTACGCCGTAGGTAGACTCACCTGAGGCTCCATTTGATGATGAGGCGTGGCCTCACCCAGAAGGCGAGAGGCTAAATGAGGTTCCAGCCCCGCCTTTCTCCTCCCTGTACTCACAAAGCCACTCCTACTATCAGGTAATCTTTGCTTTGTGGCCATTGCATGTATTCATGGCCTCAAACGTCATGCATGTCTGGTTGGTTCACAGTAATGAGCATGCAGTTATATTTTCAGCATCCATGTTTTTATTAGTTTATTTCTTTGCTGGAGTCAGTGATGCTTGAATGTTGTTACACATCGTACAGTTAGAAATACTTACAACAGTCCCAGCGATTTTATTAGCTGAGGGAATCAGACATGAGGGGAAAATGACTCCAGAAGGTTTTTAGAAGAAGGAGACATAAGTGGACTGGAGTCTCTTGAAAATTTAAAACTTAATCATACAGAGAAAATATTGCCATTTATACAATGGCGTATTGGGGTCATTGAATATACACATTCTATTAGAAAGAGTAAAAGGCCAACACAAAAACTCAAATGAATCTCAAAAATAAAAAAAAGGAAAATTTCTGAGAGCAAATGTTGAGTTTCAAAAGTCGAACGTTTTTGACTTTTGAAACTCAGAAATTTCCATGTTTGTCCTGTAAAATTTCAGAGACTTATCTGATGTGTTTCTAGCAAGATTTTGACTTTTCAAACTCAGAAGCTTTCTTGTTTTCTGTGATTAATCTAAATATTTCTGAGGTTTTTTTCTCACAAATTTTCAACCTTTGAAACTCAGAAATGTCCATGTTTTCTTTTTATCTTACTTTTGTTTTGTTTTTTTTTTTTTTTTTTTTTAAGAAAATTACAGAAATTTCCTCTTTTTTCTAGAATATTTTTGAGATTGAACTCAAAAGTTTTGGCAGAAATTTATTCCTCCATTTTTTTCTATCAACAGTGGCCCCAATGCACCGTCGTACATTTGTGTTATTTTTACAATACGACAAAAAATATTCAAGCGATATGTTCACCTCTGTTGGCAAAGTGGTACATGTGTCTTTTAAAAATATGTTGTATTTCTGCATGTATATTTTAAGATCTGGATGATTCAGTTATGTATATATTTGTTCTAAAAACAGAGTGCATGTGAATGTTGTCAATGGAAGTACTGATGTGATATTTATTTTTAATAATCTCATTTCATACCTAAAACTTTAAGTTTTTGCAGTTGGTTTAGTCTCCTTTGTTTTTGTTCATTTTTTTGTTTGTTTGTTTTGTTTTTTGTTTTTTGTTTGCGTCTGTAAATCCAGATCATTATTAGAACTGGGAACATATTTTACTTCTTTTACTCACTTTAGTTGCAGTTACAGTTTGTGACCTGCAGGAGGCAGCAGAGGACAAACTACATAAGGGGACTGAATGAATTCACAAAACCAAACAGATTTAATAGCAAATAGTAAATTATAAATATATGGACAGTTTTGGAAGGCTTTAAACTTCATTAATTGGAATTTATTGTGAAAAACAATCAAAATTCATATAAGTAATTTCTCATGACAAATGATAAATGACACAATAAATGCCTACCGTAATAGGAAGTCCCTTGCTTGTTTTATTAATTATTTTTAATATTTACAGTGTATAAAACTACAATGTAGTAGTAGCTTTACTACAGATTGGTCATTTAACACCAGTCTTTTAAATAACGCCCTAGCAGTTTTTATAAATTGTTTCAAATAGCCCTCATCACCTATGTTTAAGCCGATATTTCTGCTTCTGAAAGCTGGCATAAATCTTGCAGTGAAGTGTCGGAATGAGGGCGTAACGTGTCGCTGCACATTACAATGGGCACACATGATTGCATTGCAGTTTATTTTAAACATATGTCGCCGTTTCCAGGCTGTGAGTGGTGCTGAATGATATTACTGGTAGTGTCTGGTTCTGATTATTATAGACGTGTTGATACAATATGAGAACACAAATTAGATTATCTGTAGGCGAAAATATACACCAGAACTGCTAGTTTGTATTGCAAAGTAAGATTTTGTTGAGTTTCTAGTGAAAATATGTTAGGAGACCTGAAATAAGACAAACTTACCTTTTCAGCAACATATAGGGAAATAATTCCCTTAACATTGACAAAAAAGTATAGTTTAACTGGCAGATTGCTTCACTTATTTAAAAAACAACGCCCCTGCGCCGTTACCTAGCAACCTCAGCCAAGCCCATTCCGTCACCTAGCAACCAAGTTCTACTTCCACTGGCAGATTGTTTAATTTGTAACACGGAAAAATGTCTTGTTATAAGTGAAATAATAGGTACTTTTTCCATTTATATTAGGAATTATTGACTCTAAACAAGCTCCTATACATTACTGAATATTTTACTTTGGCTAATTGAATATATTGAGCCTAATCTTCCACACTGCACTGCAAAACCGCAAAATCTTAAGTATTTTTTATCTAATTTCTTTTACATAAGTGGAATAATCTGCCAGTGGAACTGGTGTTTTTTATTATTGATATTAAGGAATTATTTTTCTTAAAGCAAGCTCCTATGTCTTGCTGTAACTTAGTTTTGTCTTAATTCAAGATTTTAACCCAAGAAGTTAAACTTGTGTAACTTTTTTCTGCTGTGTTTTCACTACCCTGTTTGGATAAAAAGCAGCCAATCTGATCAGAAGCAGTCACTGAAGATGCATGTTTGGATGCGTCCTGATTCACCGTGTCGACCTGCGTAGAGTTTACCGACTTCCTGCCCGCCTGTCCGATACGTCAGCCTGATTAGTGCCTTCAAAGCAAGCAGCCAAACCAATCTTTTAAATAACTCCCTGGTTAAATTTACTGCTTCTTCTGCAGAGGTGGAATGCTGCACCTCTGCCATGTGTGTGGCATGATTTCTTCCCATGCCACACACACGGCAGTATGTTCACTTAGAAACCTTAGCGGCTTTTAGTCATTAAGATAATGCGGATAATTAGGAAGGAAGTAATGGAACAGTGAGCAAGGGAGTGGCGAAAGACGAAGGGAGAATTACAGACGGACTGATGCAGAGTCTGTCTATAGTTAATCATTCTGCCAATCAACCAATTCTCCACTCCCCAAATGATCTGCTTTTCCTCCCACTGCCTGAAACTCAGAGCAAAGGAGATTTACGCAATAGGTCATCTGACATAAAACTTTGAAAAATAATCACTCTCTGACTCACCGACTCACTCTCATTACTTTTTAACAATTAGGTTATATTTATATCTGAGGGATTAGTACATTTATTTTACATTTGCAATAACATACAACATTGTGCCACATAGATTTCCAGTGAATTATGATGCATAAGTTTGAAAGAAACTTTCAAACAAACTTACAGGCAGCTGCTTACAGACAGAGTTGGGTAGTAACTGGTTACATTTACTGAAAGTAACATTTTTGAAAAAAATGTACTGATGGAGTGTTTTTACTACGCTGTACTCTTTACTTTAATTAGAATGATTTTATTATGAAGTATCTCTACTTTTACTTGAGTAAAATTTCTGTATTTTCTACCCACTGAGTGAAAAATAAACATGTTTTAACCAGAAATTCACCAGACTCAGACACACACAGTTTTTGATAACGTTTTATAATTTTTTTCATTGATAGAAACTGATTTGGAAACATTTTCTTTTGCCTGATTTTGACATTTTTTTGTTAATTATATGAATTATTGTCATTTTGATCCTTAAAATACCAAAATTTATTTCACTTTATTTTTTGGTCCATCTGATATAATTTTTAAATATTGATTGATAATTTAATCAGTTACTGGGTACTTGAGTAATTTTTTTTGGATGGCTACTTTTTACATGTACTTGAGTAAAATCTTTGGATTCTGTGTCCTCTTCTGGTCCCGAGTTTTAAAATGACCAAAGATGTTGGGAGATTTAGTTGCTTTTAAAATTTCTTGCCTCAATTGAACGCTTTTTATGTCATGTTATGAAAAACTTATCACCATAAAAGTGTTTCATACCGGTCGATATCAATAATTATCGATTCGTATTTTGATTTAAACATCTGAAAAATTGCCAGACTGCATTTGGTGTCACCTTTTCTGTTTTATCCAGTTTTCACTCCATGACGTTTTCAAGCAGTGGTGAAATCTGAAATTTCTGTTACTCAACAAGTTGTTGCTAAGTAACCGCAGAGTGAGTGAGTTGCTAGGCAATCACAGAGTGAGTGAGTTGCTAGGTAACCACAGAGTGAGTGAGTGAGTTGCTAGGTAACCACAGAGTGAGTGAGTTGCTAGGTAACCACAGAGTGAGTGAGTGAGTTGCTAGGCAACCACAGAGTGAGTGAGTTGATTTCACTTATCTAGCCATGTTTGCTATGTCTCCTGTGATAATGAACTATCAATGCTATCTGCTTGATTTCTTTATAAATGTTTTTTTTTTTTTATCCAATTTGAATATTAATTTGACTGCATTGTTTGAAAACTAGAATCAACTGGAAATTGCGAATGATTGGACGTTTATGCCAATTGCTTTGAGATGGCGTGTTGTGAATTGGAAGTGTTTAAATAAACTGAATTGATATGATATCATTATTAATATGATAAACAGAAACAAAGTAATAAAACAAATTTGTGTGCAGCTTTTTCCTAAACAAAGTGCAAATCATTCTAATTTGAGAGAAAATCAAATGATAACCTTTTGTAGGTTGAGCTGAGAAACTACAACACAAAAACACAGTAGAATTTGTCAAAGAAATGTGAAACTAAAGTCTAGATATGATACCAATAGTGACTTGGTATCGATATTGTTGATATTTTGGATCCATCCTCTCTAATAACAATTCAATCTTGCGGTTTTAAGTTTGTGGTTACAATGTGGCACCGTTTGGATCAGATTAACGTGTATAAACACAGTATACATGTATAAGTTATATTAAGTTCATTCCTTCTAGTAAGCAGTATTTCTGTCCTGACGTTATCTCCTTGCTCCTGCTTTCTTCCTCTACTAAGGCTCTGGTGTATTCCTCTTTGTGCTTGCTATTTACCATGAGAGCTTGACATAGCTTTGGAAAATCGGCCTTACCAGAATCTGAAAGCGGTCTAATGGAAGGGCTGGGGGGAAGCCAAAATGATTAGGAATGCTAAAGGAGAGAGTCTCTCACTCAGTGCTTCTGAAAGCACCAGGATCGGCTTAGTGATGCTGATAACGGTGATATTTATGACATCTGTTGAGGTTTTGTTTGACAACCCCTGTCATATATTTACATGTACAAGCTAGATATTGATGTGTAGTTACGTTACCTGCTGAATGTAACTGAAGTGGTTGGAGTGTGAGTCCAAACTGAGTGCTTACAGTTTGTTTACTTGCCAAGTAAACACAGTGTTTGCCTCATAGGCCGCCACTGGCATCCTGTACCTGTAATGATAGAAGAGAAAATTTGGCTTTCTCAGCAGTGTGACATTAAACATTTATGATGTGTGCTTTATTTAATTGCTTCTGAAATATTGATAGAGTTGGCATTCACTGGCTGACATTTGACTTAAGGGAGACAAGAAAAAGAAGTGCATGAGGGAGACAAGTGCATTAAGGGTTGAGACACGGTCAGTGTGCCACTGAACTCAACTAGCCTCAGCTAGCTGCTCCGTGTTAGCCGCACACAGGTTGTATAATTCACTGGCTGCAATGATATTCAAATGAAATCATTGTTTTTGTATCTGTAAATGAAGAGGTAACACAAAAATAAATATTCCTTTAATGGATAATAAATAGTTCATAGATATGTTATTAAGTAATCTCATAACACTTTATAAATCATTAATAACTGATTATTATGCATTAATTAAGACTGAGGAGACTAAATCTACCGGTTTCTTTTCAAATAGTGAGCCAAATTTGTTCACAGATGTATTTTAATCTGGAGTTTGTTGTAATAAACAGTTCATATTGTCTTTTTAAGCACAATAAGCATTTGTAAACTTTATATTTCAGTCTCATTCTCCCTTTTAATTAATGAATAATAAAGAGTTATTAACAACTAATAAATTGTTTATAGATTAATTGATAACATGTGACAAAGTGGTTCAGTTTGTGTTTACCTCTTGTACCTTCTTGTCATTTCTGACCACAATCCTTCACAATCTATAAAATATTACCTTATGATGCCCTTATTTTTTTTACCCGTTGTAGCGTTTTGTGTTAATTTTATCTGTAAACTGGATGAACTTATAATCATAGAGATGTTACCAAGAGGTTTGTGGATTTAAAGGCTCAAGATTTCCATTCAGTCAGAATTTTATTCTATTCTAAGAGAGGAGTCCACATTTTTTGGATCAAGCTTCAGTTATACAAAATACCTTAACAGCAGAATATTGAAATGATTTAAAGGTTGGTTATCCAACAGGAACAAGGTTTGTGATGCACTATAAGGCAAATTCAAAAACAAAAACACACCAATAATTCTAAAAAGTTTCTTAAAGTGAATTTTTTCACTCAGTGTCATTTAAAGTGCCGTCAGTCAAGCCAGCCTCTCCCCTAAACACAATCTTCAAAGACTAATATATAATAATTGCCATCAGAAAGACTTCAGAGCTCTGATGGGAAAGAGAGACGAAGCTGCTGGTTAATGGATTCATATTCTGCCTTCGTAATGCCGTTAGACCTGTTGAAACTGCTTTCATTGAGTATCACTATCAACGAGACGAACTCTCAGATGCATAAGAGCTTTAGATTTTAACAATGTGGATCAGAGAAGCAGGGCATCGAACCACCGGCCCTCTGAACTGCAGCCTGTACTAATAACAGCATGAGGGAAATGTTCCCACTGAATATTTTATGACAAGTTTGTTTTAAACTCATTTAGACCGTCCAAAACCCAAAGGTACAAACAGTTATTACATTTAAAAGCACTTCAGGTTTCTACAGCGACAAACTAGGGTCATTTTTTGATAGTAAGAAAGGAATAAATCTCCACCAAAACCTCACAAATTAATTATTATTAATTATTATTAATTTCAGGAATTTGCAAGAAAAAGTTTTAAATGTCTGAGATACAAAAGTCAAATGCTTGCAAGTGAAAAAATCATAAATTTTGAGATTAATCTTAGACATAAAAAAAACTTGGACATTTTTAAACTCCAGAAATCAAACATTTTTGAGAAAAAAAAAATATAAAGTTTTTAATCTTGGAAATTTGCAAGATAAAACTGGACAATTTCTGAAATCCAAAAGCCATAATTTTGTAATAATGAAAAAAAAGAATCTCAGAAAGATCCTCAGACATCTTACAGGAGAAACTTGTCACTTGATGAGCTCCAAGACTCAGAAATTTACAAGAAAATATCAGAAATTCTGAAACTAATCTCAGAAAATCTATAGGAAAATTTCACAGCTCAAAAAGTCAAACACTTGCGGGAAAAAAGAAATTGAGATTAATTTAATAAATTTTACAGAAAAAACGTGGAAATTTGCAAAAAAAATAAATAAAAATAAAAAGATGAAATTTTCAGATTAATCTCTGAAATTTGCAAGAGAAATGTGAAAATTTCTGAGCTCCAGAAGTAAAAAATTGGCAAACAAAATCTGAAATTATAAGATTAACCTCATTTTCATGAAAAAAAAAGTCCAAATAACAGCATAGATTTGAATCCTTTTGCCCATTTTTCATTCAGTGAAACGCTCCTGGTGACAATAAAACCTTTTATGTTGCTGTTTATCCTTTTTCCCCCAAATTATCTGATAGTCTGGTTGACAGACGGTGACATTGAGTCTCCAATGCTCTCTCAATAAGAGACGTTAGCTGTAGAAACTTCCCCTGACTAAACACACCGACCTGGTTGGCTCTGAGTTTTACAGAATCTGCAGTAAAACTCGGTTCAGAAGTCTAATGGAAAGTGTGAAAAATCTCATCCATCCCAATGCGAGGAAACAACACATTAGTCAGGCTGCGTGTGCCAGGTGTATTTTCAGGCCTCGGCAAGCTGTTGCCGTGGCAACGGTTCCCACGGAGACGCGGGGAGAAGCTGTGACAGGGGGTCCTGCCCCACCTGTGGCTAATCCACCGGGAGGCAAACGCAGCCGTGTGTTTTTAAATGTTAGCGCATGACTTTGGGATTATTTAGATTTTTACCTGGATTATTGATTATTATCATTATTTTCATATATTAGATTTTTCTGTTTTCTAGCCGTTTTGTTTACTTGTTTATGTACGCTCGTGTTTGACAGAGAAAGGAGTGTGTGGGAGAGCTGGGTGCTGCAGTCTCTGAAAAACAGCCTTAGGAGAAGATCTCTATCGCTTCCACAATTATGCACGCACACACACACGCACACACACACACACACGCACACACACACACACGCACACACACACACACGCAGACACGCTGAAACGCCAAATCTATTGCCATACATTTTCACTTCCAAAGTTTATTTTGTGCATCAAATCGTTCTCCGCTTTCCGTTGAACTCGACCTGCAACAGGATTAGAAAATGTTTGGAGTAAAAGATGCAGGGTGGTGTCACATGATTGGCTGACTGGATCGTAGGGGGCGGGGCTTCCAGCAGTAATAATATCTGACAGTAAGGGAGAGAACAGCATCGGGTTGCAGCTGAAATAAAAGACTGTAAAAGACAATTTGCTGAAAGACAAGCGAGAGAAAGCAAACACAGGTCAGTTGGAGGCTGCCGAAAGAGACGAGATAAATATGCAGAGTGAAGCGGACAAGAAGGAAGACTTGGAGGAACAGCAGAGATGTAAGAGGGAGAGAAGGAGAAGCAGAAGAGTTGGAGAATGATTCCTGCTGCCAGCCACCTACTTCAGATGCTCTCATCCTCGAAGGTTTCTCTCCACCTCCCTCGTTTCATCCGCTCAGCCACCCATCACGCCCTCCCCGCTTCCTCCTATATTTAATGGGAGAAGGCACAGTGACAGGGGGAGATTGACTGGTCATCTTGGACTCGCAGAGAAGGAGGGAGGGAGTGAACTCCCCTAAATAATCAATCCTCATATCCTGCCGCTCGTTCCCCCTAACTCTTTTTTTTTCCTCTGACGAGGGGCAAAGAGGAAGCATCAGAGACGGGAATCTGGACGCTCGGGGAAGTGGATTCTGGACGCTTTCACCTGGGATGATGGAAACATTCATGGACAACCACAGCAGGCAACCAGCTGAACAAATATCCGCCTCGTTTCTTCAAATCTGATGAGAAAAACTGAGAATTTTTCCAAAAAAACAGAAAAAAAGATTTTTGAAAAACAGAAATCCGACTGCAGATTTTTTCTGGGACGAAGAATCGGGGATGAAACGGTGGAAAGGAGATAAAATCTAAGTTGGAGTCGAACAGCTGGAACTATGAACTACATTTTTGGCAACAACACCCTGTACCCCCGCAGCTCCAGAGTGGGCGGGGCATCTGGAGGTCAAGGGGCGGGGCTAGGAATCAAGCAGAAGTTGGGACCGAAGCGAGGCTCGTCGGAGGAGCTGCCGCCTCCACACACGTCGTCTCCGTCCACCTCGTCTCCGGCCTCCTCCTCTCCCTCCACCTCCTCGTCTCGCTGGCAGCAGCTCCTCACCTTCTTCTCCAGGAGGAGCGCCTTCACAGATTGCATCAATTCTAGTCAGGTAATGTGGCGCAGCAGCCGCGCGTGAGCGTGTGATGGAGTGTTAGGGTCAGTACGGATAAAACTATAAAAGAAGGAAGAGCAGCAAATTTCTGCCAAAAAAGTTTGAGATTAATCTAAATAAATTTCTACAAGTTGTGAATTTCAGGGAGATTAATTGCTGAAAATGTGGAAAGAGAAATTTCGAAAAGTTGAAATTTAACTACAAAGAAAAAAGAAAGGAGGAGTAAATTTAGGCCAAAAAACTTTTAAATTTTAAGGTTAAGTTCACATATTTTATAGAAAAAGTTAGAAAATTTTCTGAGTTCAAAAGTTAAAAAAGTTAAAACATTTTCAACTTTTAGAGCTCAGAAATTTCAAGTTATTTCTGGAAAATTTCTGAGAGTTTTCTTAAAATTTGTGAGTTTTTCTCTTATTGCCTTTGGGAGCCCAGAGATTTTCAGGTTTTTTCAGAAAACTTCTGGTATTTTTCTGAAAATTTCAGAGGTTTTCTACCAAGTTTTTGACCTTTCAAGCTCACAAATTGCAAAGTTTTTTTCTATAAATTTCTGAGCTCAATCTCAAAAGTTTTGAGTTGATTTTGGCGAGTTTTCAACTTTTGGAGCTCATAAAGTTCCAGTTTTTTTCTAGAAAATTTCTTGTATTAANCTCAACATTTCTGAGNTTTTNCTCACAAATTTTCAACTTTTGAAGTTCTGAAATGTCTTTTATTTTTCCCAGAAAATTTCTAAGATTAGTCTTAAAATTTGTCAGCTTCTTCTCGCACATTTTTGACTCATGAAGGTTAGAAATTCCCAAAGATTTTTTCTAGAAATTTTCTGTTTAATCTCAGAGGGGTTTTTTTGTTTGTTTTCTTTCTGCAGTTGCCCTCAGATGCCATCATGGCATGTTTAGTGAAACTCAGATGAATTTAGATAAATAGTTTGGAGTTTATGGGGAATAAGAAAATCTGGAGTTTCTTTCTTGAAATGTGAAGGAGGTTGAGTCAGCTGGCTGGTTTCGAACTGAAGCTGAATCACGTTGTGGTTAAGATTTCTGATGAGGTTGTTATGGAAATGAGATGTGGTGTTGCCATGGCGAAGCTATCGTTTAGCTAAGCCGTCTTCATGCTTACAGTCTGCGCTGAAATGCAAAATTACAAATGAGATTCATCGTCAGCAGCAAAGACTCATTCAGAAAAGCATTTAAGATAATTTCTGCTGCTGCTTTATAAAATACAACAAATGTAAAAATAT